GATCCCCCCCCAGTAGTTTGTGTCTCTGCCCCTCCCACAATGGTGAGATTTCCCTCCAGTAGTTTGTGTCTCTGCCCCTCCCACAATAGAGTAGAGTTCTCCATCGTAGGCTCTCTGCTGTGGCCTTACACGTCACTCACCATTACTCTCAGCCTGTGATTGGAGAGATGGAGGTTGTTTGTCTTCTTTCAGCTGCAGTTTGTTCAGCTACAAGAGGAAGGAGAAGATTAGATGACTCCGCCCCCAGATCACATTCTATGAAATTCGATGCAGCAAAGTAGAGTTCTCCATCGTAGGCTCTCTGCTGTGGCCTTACACGTCACTCACCATTACTCTCAGCCTGTGATTGGAGAGATGGAGGTTGTTTGTCTTCTTTCAGCTGCAGTTTGTTCAGCTACAAGAGGAAGGAGAAGATTAGATGACTCCGCCCCCAGATCACATTCTATGACATTCGATGCAGCAGAGCCAAAATGAGGCCCCAAGAACCGCGCACACCGATCTGCAGTCACACGGTAAGGAACTCACCGCAACACGTTACTACCGCCGCACACTCAGCTCAGTATGACATGAACACATTACAAAGTGACAAACATTGTACACGTGTACTACATACAACACGTCCCACAGGGGAGGAGCCAATGTTCTATTCTCTGACCACACCCGTCAGAAATCATCAGATGTGTCCCCATCATTATAAATGGGGGAACCCAAAATGTTCGGACCGAGAAATCTTCCCACCAGACTAACTGTACAGAATTCTGCAAATCCACCTGATTAAACCACCGGGTCTTCTACCCGGGCCTCCCTCCTCCCCTCCCGGGTCTTCTACCCGGGCCTCCCTCCTCCCCTCCCGGGTCTTCTACCCGGGCCTCCCTCCTCCCCTCCCGGGTCTTCTACCCGGGCCTCCCTCCTCCCCTCCCGGGTCTTCTACCCGGGCCTCCCTCCTCCCCTCCCGGGTCTTCTACCCGGGCCTCCCTCCTCCTAGAAGCTGCAGCAAGTCAGATAGAGCTCCGCCACATTTCCTGGCTGGCGGACGTCCAACATCATCTAACCCAGGGGCTGGGAAACTCCAGCTGTTGTGGAACTACAAGTCGCATGAGGCATTGCAAGACTGACAGCCAGAGGCACACCTCCCAGAGGCACGATGGGGTTTGTAGTCTCACCACAGCTGGAGTCCCGCAGTTCCCTACCCTGCAATAATGTATGCTTTGCTGTGGAGCAAAGACGTATAGGATACTAGAGTTCCTGTTGAAGTGTGGGGGGGGGATGATGTGTTCGTGGTGATGAATGTATAGAGGGATTCCAGTGAACACAGGGCGGCTTGTGCACCCTCCCCCGACCAGGCGGGAATGTAAGGAGCTCTATGGACGGCTGAGGGAAATTACAAACTCGTCAGTCCCACCAGTCACGGCACACTGACAGGTCCTCTTGTAAGAACAACCCGAAGACCCAAATACCATCATCTACAAGGACGAAGATGTTAACCCCGTGTGTATATCGGGGGGTGTTGTTCTTACAAGAGAACCTGTCACGGTCTTCACTAGGCCAAGAGGCAGTGAGATCACCCCAATACCTGAGTCCATACTCGTCATCCAGAACCCCAAATGTACCGCCCTCTAAAAAGGAGAGCCACCGCCATGTTCCAGGAGACTGTTAGAGACTCATTTCCACGTATCACACAGGGACACCAGGATGGACTGGACCACACAGGGGCCCCACAAGGGAATGGGAGGACCTGTGGTGGCAACAGTGGAGCCATGGTGCTTGGGGCCCTTGTGCTGGCTGGGAGGAGCCGGAAGATCGAAGTAGAACACAGAAGGGGCCACTGTGATAAGTATAGGGGCCCCCGAAAGAAGTCGGCCTTAGAAGGGCCCTTGTGTCAAGTATAGGGGTACCATGATGGAGTGCACCAGGGGGTACTTTTGCCGGCTACAGAGGCCCCCGGGTGAGGGGGGCGTCAGTGCTGAGTGAAGAGGGCCCTAAAAAACTAAGCAGCCTCTGAGGGCCCCCAGCATGTCCCGGGTCCTCCTCTCACCGTCTCTGCCGCCGCCTCTTGCTCGTCCACCGCCTGGGCCCATGAATCAGTCGCCATCGTGCTTCAGCTTCTCTCACCACCGGAAGTTTCCTGTGCCAAAACCCTTACCTTCTTCCGGCTACGGCCTAAACAGAAGACTTAGAGCCTCTGTCAGGTTCTTTTTTTCCATCTGTGTCACTTTTGGGTGATTTCCCCTCCACTTCCTGTACCAGAGACACAACAGGAAGTGAGTGGAAATCTATACAAAGTGAAGGGAAATGGAACACGTGTCCCAAATGGAAGATTTCCCCTCTATTCATGTTCTGCTGACAACTGTAACATTGTGGATTTCACTTCCCCTGCTTGAGACAACATCCCAGAGGGGAACCAAGAGGGGGGGTGCACCGGGACAGGTAGTGGGAAAAATTCCCAATGAGGACACAACCCCCTCCCTTCTCTAATAACAAAGTATATTTTATTGCACTCTGTATTTCTCTTGGAGATTTCTCCTCATTTCCTCTCCCGCTAATGTGTTGTGACCAGGACAGGAAGTAAGGGGAAACCTCAAACGGGGACACAGCAATAAAGAGCCATTTAAAGTTCCTATGTCTGAAAATACCTTAAATAACCTCACAGACCAATCGGAGCCCTGACTGCTTCCTACACTATATATACTTCATTGGTCCCCATCAGGGACATTTTACCTCACTTCCTGTTCTGATGACAGGGTGTCACAGGGACAGGAAGTAATAGAAACGGGGACACAGAGGAAGTCAACCACTTTTTTGTTTTGTTTTGGTAAAGCAGGGAAGGGTTTGAAGTCTCCGCCATGTTTCCTCCCCCCTCTATGTACATGTTAGGGAGTGACACGGGGACAGGAAGTGATAGGGAAATCCAAACTTTCATTAAATGTCAGGTTTGTATTGCCGTGGCACCTGCGTGCCACATTCATTCTCCTGGTGTCACAGAAGCAGGAAGTGATAGTGAAATCTCCCCAATGGGGGACACAGCTTTTACTGAACGCCAGGTTTGTATTGCTGTGTGACACCCGTGCACCTCATGCGTTCTCCTGGTGTCACAGGGACAGGAAGTGGGCGAAGATCTCAGCTTTAAATGTCAGGTTTGTATTGCTGTGTCACACCTCTGTACCTCATTCCTTAGCCTGGGGTCACAGGGACAGGAAGTGATAGTGAAAGAAGATGTCTTCTCTACAGAAGATGTCGGCGATATAACACTGCAGGGGCGGGAAGATGGAGGACGCGGAGCTGCGATGGAGGACGCGGAGCTGCGATGGAGGACGCGGAGCTGCGATGGGGGCGGCTGAGCTGCGATGGAGGACGCGGAGCTGCGATGGAGGACGAGGAGCTGCGATGGAGGACGCAGAGCTGCGATGGAGGACGCAGAGCTGCGATGGAGGACGAGGAGCTGCGATGGAGGACGAGGAGCTGCGATGGAGGACGCGGAGCTGCGATGGAGGACGCAGAGCTGCGATGGAGGACGAGGAGCTGCGATGGAGGACGCGGAGCTGCGATGGAGGCGGCAGAGCTGAGCTGCGTCAGGACCGGAGATTTTGTCTTTTTTTGTGTGTTTTGTCCGGAAAGTTCCGCCCTTTAGGGCGTTCACACCACAAAGTCTGCCAGAGCGCCCGGCCGCCTCCCTGCGTTCAGGGGCGGGAGGGGGCGTGGCGGTGCATTGAAGTCAATGGCTCCTCAGCCCCGCCCCCTGCCCGCAGTGCGACCGCCCGGAACGCAGGCAGGGGTGCGGAGAGGGAGGAGGGGGAGGTGCGATGGAGGACGCGGAGCTGCGATGGAGGACGCAGAGCTGCGATGGAGGACGAGGAGCTGCGATGGAGGACGCGGAGCTGCGATGGAGGCGGCAGAGCTGAGCTGCGTCAGGACCGGAGATTTTGTCTTTTTTTGTGTGTTTTGTCCGGAAAGTTCCGCCCTTTAGGGCGTTCACACCACAAAGTCTGCCAGAGCGCCCGGCCGCCTCCCTGCGTTCAGGGGCGGGAGGGGGCGTGGCGGTGCATTGAAGTCAATGGCTCCTCAGCCCCGCCCCCTGCCCGCAGTGCGATCGCCCGGAACGCAGGCACATTAGTCCAGCGCGATCTGCAAAAATGCTGCAAGCACCTTATTAGAGTTACAGCACAGGAACAACCGGGGCAGCGAGTGGGGGCGGTCCCTGAATATTTGGAGGCGGGGTCTGGGTGGGACAACCTGTAAAGTAGGTGTGATTGGCAGTCCCTCATACTCAGAGGCGGGGTCTGGGAGGGACAACCTGTACAGTGGGTGTGATTGGTAGTCCTATTCAGAGGTGGGGTCTGGGCGGGACAACCTGTAAAGTGGGTGTGATTGGCTGTCCCTCCTACTCAGAGGCGGGGTCTGGGCGGGACTACCTGTAGAGAATGGGAGGGACAACCTGTAAAGTGGGTGTGATTGGCAGTCCCTTATATTCAGAGGCGGAGTCTGGGTGGGACAACCTATAAAGTGGGTGTGATTGGCAGTCCTATTCAGAGGCGGAGTCTGGGTGGGATAACCTATAGAGTGGATATGATTGGCAGTCCTATTCAGAGGTGGAGTCTGGGTGGGACAACCTATAAAGTGGGTGTGATTGGCAGTCCTATTCAGAGGCGGAGTCTGGGTGGGATAACCTATAAAGTGGATATGATTGGCAGTCCTATTCAGAGGCGGAGTCTGGGTGGGATAACCTATAAAGTGGATATGATTGGCAGTCCTATTCAGAGGCGGAGTCTGGGTGGGATAACCTATAAAGTGGATATGATTGGCAGGCCCTCCTATTCAGAGGCACACAGTGGGTGTGATTTGGTAGCACCCACCTAGAAAGTGGGCGGACGAAATGCAGACTGTGGGCGGGGTTAACAGTGTCCCGGTATAATGTTGGTATGTATGTGGGCGGGTCCTCGGTGTTCCTGCATTGTACATGCCGAAATTTGCTGCCGAATCTTCCCCCGCGGGCCCTTAGCGTCGTCCATTGCGGGGCCCCTCTGCGGCTCAGCGCACACAACGCCGATACTGTGCTGCGGCGCGGGTCATCGGGTGGAATGGATGGCGGCGGAGGTTGCGTTTGATCTCATAGTCGTCTCAGATCTGAACACCACAATGGCGGCGGCGCGCTTCGCCATCGCAGACCCGGAACTGGAGTGACACCGATGCGTTTCTTCAGCGGCCGGGAAATAATAAAAGCCGCCGGCGCTGTGAATGCGGCTCGCCGGGGGACTTTCCGGCTCCCATTGTGGTTGCC